AAAAGAATTCATCGTTTTTTATAAAAAAGGATTGAAAGAATCAAATTCGTTTATAGGAATTTCGTTGAGATTGATAAAATCAATTGATAATTGATTAAATCGATCAGGGGTTAATTGATCAAATTGATTAAATTAATCAAATTGATCAAATTAATCAAATTGATCAAATTGATTAAAGGATAATAAAAAGATTATAGAAATTTCTTTATTCTTTTCTTTTTGTTCTTTTTCTTCAAAAATATTAAATTCATTAAAGTATTTGAATCTATAATATAACATTTTATTATATCGTTTTTTGAATTATATTTTTTATTTAATAAGATAAATAATCTTAACAAAAAATTCAATGATTTCAGTATTCAACTTATCGATTTATCAATTAAGATTCTTTTAATTATATTTCCAAGGAATTTTATAATCTTAATTATCTTTCAAATGAAATTCAATATTATATAAAACAGAATTTTGTATACATTCCGAATAATACAAACAATATTTATCAAAAAAATCCTTAATATAACAATGATTCTTCTATCGATAATAAAAACAAAAAATCATTTCAACATCAATAAAATCAATAATTATAATTAAATATATATATTCCTTTTTCTTTCTTTGAATTAAATTATTAAAAGAATCAGAATTATTTATAATAAAAAAAAGATAAATAGAATATAAAAGAAAAAAACATTAATTATCAAATAAAATCTAAAGGATTATAAACAATTAGAATAACATTTAATTAAAAAGGGAATAATATTATAATTTATAATTAAAATAAAAATATATTGAAGAATAATAATTAATATATTTATATAAACTTAAATCTTATTGAAAAACAAAACAATTTGTATATAAATTTATATAATAATCGTTTTATATAATCTCTTCATTTTTAATAAATTCAGATATATAATTTGATCTTAATCATATAATAAAAAGCTTTAGAAACTTCAAAAACTTTTAAAACTTCAAAAGCTTTTTGAAGTTTTAAAATTCTACAAAACTCTTTTATATTCATTAATATATAATCAGAATAGTTTTATAATTTAAAAGTTTCATATTCAACTTAATTATCAATTAGTTTACTTATATTCCAATTGATCTAATAATATATTCACCTTTGAGTGAATAATCAATGATTATTAACCTTAACCTACAACTATCAACTATACAAAAACCTGAGACAGCCACTGCCTCGACCAGATCATTACAAATAGATCCAATGATTGAAAATTATAATTATTTATAACTTCAGAATTTCATATATCAAAAAAAACAAAAATATTAAAACAGATACTTTTAATCGAAAATCAAAATATTTATAAAACAAAATATATAAATCATATATAATATTAAAACAAAACAATAATATATTAATATTAATAATTTCTATAAAAAATAAATATATAATTTTTTCTTTTTTTTTCCTTCTATAACAAACAGACTAACTTTAAATTGAATTAAATCAAATCAGTCTAATGAAAACATCTCATACCCATTAAAAAACCGTCTACTTGAAGTATAAATTCTCTTTCTTTTACTTCTTTTACTTGAATTTTCTCACCTGCAGCCCACCACTCAGCTAATACTCCGTTATTATATGAGTGAGTATACTCTGTAGAAAGAAAGAAAATTAAGATCATTAGACTTAAAGACTTGAGCTTACACTATATTACTTTCAGGATGTAATATATAATATAATATCGATCAATACTCATATACATTAATTGATCATAAGCCAATGATGATGATGATGATGATGATACAGAGTTTTGGAAACACAAAACACAACGTTATAGCTAAGAATTTTATAGTGATATGATATCGTCTCGATCTGCAGGTACTATGTATGGTATGCAGCAGCAGCGCTTTTTGGTCTCCACCGCTATTTGATATTGTAGAGTTTTGGAGGGTTGAGGGAATGCTTTGCTTTGCTTCGCTTTGCTTTGCTCTACTTTATTTTGCTTTATGTTTCATTCTTGATGTGTATTTGTGTTTGTGCTATACTACTGCGGTTGCTTTTTGATATTAACAGGTACGGTAAAGGCAACTTGAGATTTTGGACTTGGATTCCGAACGTCATAGTTCTTCTCTCCTGTCTTAATCTTACAACAAGTAGATTTGGGGTGATCAAAGATAAATATACTAGACTACTCCGTACTCCGTATATAGAGATAGTAATACTTGTTTTGAGGCGTGGAAAAGATAAACTTTTAGGAGTGTAAGTCTTGTTTTATAAATATATATATGAATGTGTAAATGGATATAACATTATTTATTTCTCAGAAAAAGTAAAAGGCCCCGTGAGAAGAGTGTCCAGCCCAAAATATGATTCTGATGATTCTAGACCCTTCATTCATTCATCACCTTACCTTTTCAGGTAACAAATCACAACAAAATCTTCTGGAATAATTATAATTATAATATGAATGGAATGAGGGAGGACCTTGGATGAGGTAACATACACTGTACATTGAACGAACGAACAGCTTCTCAATCAAATCAATTGAGTCTCTTCGAAACTAGAGTAGGGAGCTAACCTCACTAGCTACATAAACTACTGCGTAATATACACATATAAGAGCGGTCAAGGAATCTTTTCCAAAGCGCGACATATATAGCATACTGATGCTCCGTGGTCTGTACCACTCTAGGCTTACTTATCGATAAGATATGTGGTGTAGTGTTGTGGGAGGGAATTTCATGCATGGAAGTAACGTCGTCGGTGGGTTTTCCTTACGTGGATATCATATACGGATAGAGGAGAGTATTTGGTGGTGTATCACTGATGTACTGCGTAGAGGAGAGAAGTTTGTTGTGTTTCATGATGGGTTTACAGCGTGAGTGTTGTAAGATCTTAAGTTGTGGTTAATGCGGGGACTATAACCAATATAAAATCGAAGGTTAATATCAATTTGAGATTATTTGTATTAATATTTTATTTTCTATTAAATCTTGTTTTATAATTAAATAAATTATAATCTCAAAAATGAATCTTTTATTGATTTAGGATTAGTAGATTTGCTGATCGAGGGTTATAAATAACTGATTTGCTGCTACCCTAGGGATGAATGCCATTGTCCACGGACTCCCTACTACCAGTACAGACGGAGTAGTAGACAATCTTCCCCGTCTTGTTTTTCAGTATATGGGTAAAAACCATCTTAATTGGTCTTGTTTCAATAAACATGTGAAAAATGTCGATAACTTGTTTATCAGTCCATAAGTCCATAATACTCGTATTCCTTTTATACCTTCTTCAGCCACAAACGTGGGGCAATATTGGGGATGGCCGCAAGTGAAAAAAGTGTGCATCCATCTCTATCTCTTTGGGGTTGTGATTGGGTTTCAATATCACCTCATCAAGGGTTTTTGTTTTTGTTGGTGATGGGAAGGCCAAGCCAATACTTTTACTCCACCCAATCTATCTTTCATTCCTTCACAAATTCATCACAAATTCAACCATCATTTGAAGAATACGGACTTTTGGAAACGGAGATAAATTTGTTGGTGGAGTAAGATTATGAATCCGGCTTGATGAACCTTGATAGAGGAGACAATAATAAAGTGATAGAGAGTCCGGTAGGTCAATACATCGAGACAAGGTGAGGATGAAAATGGGAATACCCAGATTCTGGGCTTAGACAGACAGAGCAGACACAGATAGAGATGTTGTTGGTATGGCTTAATTTATGTTGGTGATAGCGGGTTGAATAATCAAGGTGATGTGTGATATTTGATCTAACAGAGGAGAAAAAGAAATCCCAACAAGATCTCGATGGAGATGCATACGAATGTAACAAATGCAACATTGAAAGCGTGGGGAAAAGAATTTTGTTGTGATGAAGTTTTAATGGTCGGTCTATGGTCCATGACTCTTTTATCCGTGGAATACATGCTCAGACATGCAAGGAAGTACTTGGAAATGCCAATAATGATAATTTTCTGTATGTAAAAGGTGCGTTGTCAATGTTGATAATAAATGATTGACAAGGTAGCCACGACCTCGATCTCGACCTCGACCTCGACCTCGACTTTAACCTCGACATTAACCTCGACAGATGAAATGTAGGAAGTATGTGAGTACCGTAGGTAGTAGAGTAGAAACTAGAAAGGTATGAGTATTGCGTATCGTGGGTACGAGGTGGTACTTGGAAATCAACCAATCGGAAACATGATGTGTGTGAACTCTCCGTATAGAAGCAATACCTACCTAGGCAATTTCTACCCCACCTTGAAAGCATTCAAAAACTAACTTTAACATGGGAGAAATTAAGATACGATTACCCCTCCATCATTATAAGAGATTATCAAAGAGTAGTCTGTTGACTTGTTGACTGTTGACCGTGGACTGTTGACCGTGGACCGTGGACCGTTGACCGTGGACCGTGGACCGTGGACTTGTAGATATCTACGGACGTACTAATTAATCAAATCGAGATAGTATGTCATATCATAGTGATAGCTGCTAACCTCATGCGAAATATAAAAAGTACACAACAGCTGCCAGTTACAACAGCTAGTTACATCTCCTAGCTAACCTAGCTATACGACCTTAACCAAAGACTTGATCATATATCAAAAGGTTGAATACCTAGGTAGACATCTATTTTACTGCTGCCTTTCATACTTCCCATAGATATACATAGCATCCCGTGAATCATCATCAAAGAAAGAGACAAGCTAAACAAGAATCTTTAACTCAATCCCCGTAAAATACAACATACACTGTAGTATTTTGTACAATATTCCGTACCTCACAATAAAGTACTGTCTGTACATGAAATTACTGTACATACATGAGAATCCAGTAACTCAAGTCTAGGCAAAGCGTGGCAAAGGAAACTTGTAGCTTTTTCTAACCCAAATCACTTAACCTTTGGTTAGTGTACCACTCCTCTTACTCTTCTCACTCCTCTCACTCCTCATTCACATTTCCCCCCCCTTTTCCATCCAATAACGGTACTTCCAACCCACCGCTTAATCGAATACAAGCATAACTAGACAACCTTTTTGCAGTAGACATACACAACACGATTCAGAATACCAACCAGGTCATCTTCTGCCGCATTGCATCGGATTGGGAGTTGTCTATCACCTATCACTTAGCATAATTGCATGATTCCTCCCCTAGTCCCTGCAATAGGCCCTAGCACGCACACACAACAACCTTACCCCTCCAACTTGCTCTAACCAGTAGTTTTCCGAGGGTCGCCGCATTTCGCATATTCCCAATAAGATTTTTTTTTTATTTGATATACCAACCAATACACCGAGAATATTTTTAAAGTCTCCCTTTCTCTCTTCTCTCTTCACGATGTCGACTTCCCCACAAACCCCAGACGTAAATCAATCAGTCCATAATCATCCCGAGAATGTCTCCCAGAGACGAGAGTCCGAGTCCACCTCCAGTTCCGCCGAACTCACCAGCGTCACCTTAAAGTTGCGCAAGGCTTTACGCAATTTCCCTGACTTTCCCATCCCCGGTATCGATTTCGTTGATATCCTTCCTCTCTTCGCTTCTCACGACCTTCACGAATCTTTGATCCGCGCTCTGGAGTTACAAGTTCTTCTTGTGAACGGTGGGAAGAAACCCGATGTTATTGTTGGTTTGGATGCTCGAGGATTTCTTTTCGGACCTTCCCTTGCTCTGAGATTAGGAGCGGGATTTGCTCCGGTCAGAAAGAGAGGAAAGCTTCCTGGTCCTACCGAGGAAGCTTCTTTCGAGAAGGAATATGGTCAGGATTATTTTCAAATCCAAAAAGATGCGATTAAACCTGGGCAATCAGTACTTGTTGTAGATGATATCATTGCTACTGGTAAGATATAACTTTCCGATTCACTTATCTGCGGGACATTTCTCGTTACACATACCTACTCTTGAGGAATATTTTCACTGACATTTCATTCTAGGAGGAAGTGCCCAAGCAGCCGGAAAGCTTGTCCAACAACTCGGAGGAATTTGCATGGGATATTTATTTATTTTGGAATTGGATTTCTTGAAAGGACGTGACAAACTCTCCGCTCCCGTCGCAACATTATTACGCGATTAAATGGGCATGCTGGATTGTAAGAATTAAAAAAGTCACGATCCCCATTTTGTTGGATTTCGTTGGCGTTGGTGTCGGGCATTCATCATAGACAGCATTCATTGCATTACTGAGCTTCTTCGATGTTGATTGAGGTGACGATGGCCTTGCTATGAGGAGGAAATGAATGGGTGGACTTTTGCATAAAGAGTTGTTTGTTATACTCGTTGAGGGTAGAGTATGTTGGTTCTTGGCTTTGGATAAAATAAGATCGTAATACCGATTTATATTGGATTTATCTTGGATAATATGAATATGGATTTGGATTCTGATTCTGGATTTGGATTTGAGACGGGAACAGAATAATTATCGCCAGATAAATGCGTGAGAAGTTCATGTATTCAATCCAAATTTAAATATCTTTATCTTTCCATACCTCAGTATCATATATATACATCATGCCAACAGATTCATTACCACACATTCAGAACTTTGAAGGAGTCGATCTATCTATCTACCTACATAGTAAATACCTACCTATTATATATATATATATATTACGGAGGTAAAGACAGATGAGTGAATCATTCGTGTTTATGTACCGGAGGCATTTATGTATTTTATTCCAAGATTAATACTCTCCCCTCCCACTTCTCTTCTGGTTCCATCCCATTCTTGCTCTTCCCCTCCTTTTTTCCCTATTCCCATCCATCTTCCTCTTCCCCTCCTTTTCCCCTCCTTTTCTCCTCTCCGTGAGACATCCATCATCATCATCCATCCATCACCCATCACCCATCACCCATCACCCATCACCCATCACCCATCACCCCCATCACCCATGAACCCACCAAAGCTTATAACAGTACAACTCATCAATCAAAAAGAAAAAAGCTTTCCCTCAAAATTTTCTCTTATCGTCAAATCATCAGCCCACTCGTTCTAATTTCCAACCCACTTATGCAAACATGCCTTTCACCGATAAGGAAATTAATCAGCCTGACTGCACTAAATTAGTAGATTTCTCTAAATGACATCCCGGCTGCGGCGCCAGCCTTGTGAATAATTATTGTCACGAGAAATATCATCGCACCTTAATGTCTTAATACAACATCCACACCCCCATTCCTCACCCTCACCCTCATTTGTAAAGTTTCTTTTTACGAGTCCTTCTCTTTTGCATCTTGCATTTTGTGTACCTACTCTTCTTGTCTATTTTCTTTCCTATCGTACACGAAGTTTTTCTATTAGATACGTACGGCGTTATAGAACTAAGAATTGCATGCAACAAAACACACAAACGCAAAGTTCGAATTGACAACCACCCCAGTTACGAATACTTGAAATAGGACAGACACAGAGTACATAGTCTAGCATAGCATAGCATGGAATCATAAAAGAAATAAATGCCTTCCTTCTTCACCTTCGACCAAGGAACCGAACGTTTTTCCTTCTCTTCCCCCAACGAATCCTCACCGCTTCTGGGTCGTTTCCGCGCCGTACCTCCTTCTCCTACTTCTCCAACCCATGCACCTCAATTAGCATATCCGCAACGTAGCAGGAGAAAAAGTCTCCTAGGGTTTCATATAGATGGGTTTGGAGGCACGTTTGGAGGTAGGGATGAGGGGGATGAGGGGGAGGTAGAGGGTTATGATGAGGATGAGGGGGTGGCTGGGTTGGGGATCGCGGGCATAGGTGGCTTGCAGAGAAAGGTTAAGGTGTGTGGGAGGGAGATGTGGGATCTTTGGATTGAACCGAAACAGGGGAAGGTGGCGAGGGTGGTGGATAGATGGTGGATGAGATGCGCGGTTCTGGTTGTGCTGCCGGCTTTGTTGGTGAGTTTGAAATATTCTTTTTTTTTCTGTTTTTGTTCTTGGAAATGTGGATGGAGGGTTAGTTGAGGGAGTGAGATTTATTGCCGTTGATTGAGGCATGGGGAACGGGGAATGGGGAGCGGAAGTCTGGGGACAGGGGATGATACAAGGGCAAGCCCCCAAACCCCTTTTGCTCGCTGCGCTCGAAGATTCCGCACATGACACTAGCCGGCCCCCGGGACGGCCAGCGGAGCGTCTTTCAATTGGGTGTCAAAGCAAAAATTCGTATTTGTACGAGGCAAGCTATTGCATCTCGAAAAACCCGATATCGAACTTGCGGATGAGCAAACATATTAGATATTCATATACTAACAATTGGTAATACTAGGCTGTTGCATGGTGTGCACTACCATTCCCACAATACGAGCTTCCCGATGATGACGACGTGGAAGGTTTACCATCGAATATTTTTGGACATAAGATACCAGGTCACGGTGAAGCTAGAGTTGAAATCAACTTTTGGTTCTTTCTATTCGTATACTATGGCTTTTATAATATAATAGCCTTGATGTGGATAACAAAAGTCTTCAACATCTATTCACTGAATTGGTATATTTGAGTCTCATGTCTCGAGAATTACATACACTAACTTATTTTTAGGTGGCCTAAAAGCCTCGGTTTTCCTCTCACAGTCTCTATTATTGCCGCAATGTCTATAGCAGCTCCAATTCCTTTTTATTGTATACCAAAACTTCGATATATCACATCACATAATACAGCGTGGATATGCTGGACATTCTTCGCCATGGCAATGCCATTACTTGTTGCATTTGCTATCCTCCTCAATCATGAACGACATCTTGGCTTGCGTATTCCTCTTTCCGAAACTCAACGACTTTTTACGTCTTCATGGTGGACAGGTGATCCTGACACGATAAATGCAAGGGATCGACCACGAAGACCAAATGTCATTCGAAATCAAAGTGCTTTTGATCCAAATGCTTCTTTGGAAGTAGCTTTAGCATCAGATAATATATATCGATCGAGAGATTCTCAACGTATGTTGAGGAAGCGATGGCTTCCAGCAAGTTTCGTTAGATTCATGTGGTTTTGTGCTGCTTTACTAATAGCTATATTGACTTACCTATTGGGAGAAACTTATGCAGAGATATATTTACGAACATTACCACATAGCACCATTGAAACTCTTGTATACGTTTACAGTTGGGTTGTAACGGTACATTTATTAGATGGCTTATGTGGTTGGATCCTGGGGGGTAACGATGGAGAAAGAGTAGGCAGTTACCCCCTAGCTTGGATTTTTAAGCTGTAAGATAACACTATCATTTGTACCGCTTTGAAACTACTGACATGGATTTCTAGCTATTTTGCTTTAACCTACCAAACCTACGTCCGCGCATTATATGCCCGTCTTCGCTCGCCACAACAATTCATCTACCTTCAAATAATGTCCTCTTCCTTTTTAATTCTTCTCGCTCCCCTCACCATGTCCGCTCAATTTCATTCTCTTCTCACTTTTCTTTACCTAAATGGTCAATCCTACACCGCATATCAAAAATTCTGTACACGGAATATTTTCCTCAGAGGCTTAAGCGAAAATGTCTCCATGCTCACCTTTTTGGGAAGTATCCTTGTCCTCCATTACGGAGCTAATAAGGACGTCTACCCTTACTTCGCCTTCGACATACCTATCGCGCCTTCAAATCAAACACTTTCAACCGCTCCCTTCTCCCTCATTGACAAAATCCGACTCTTCCCCAGTATTCCTCGTATCCCACATGGACCCGTTCACCTGGCTCCCTCTCGACCCGGCCCACAATATGATTTCAGACTCACGTTTTACGCTTCGGTCGTTACGTGGGCGTGTGAAATTGTGGCGGGATGGATCACGAGAAGGATACTTTGGTTTGGGTGGAAAATGGATGTTACTGGGGAGGGAAAGAGAGATTTGGGTAGTTGGCCCGAATTACTTCCCACGGGTGTTGTGGTTATGGTGCATGTTTTGCAGAATATGCTTTTTAGTATTGTTAGGTTGGCTTTTCATTAGGGATGGATGGTGATGGAGGTTGGAGGTTGGACGGTCAGGAGTGGGGAGTGGATAGAGGAAGAGGAGATGGTTGGCTGGGGGGCTTGGTGTTTTATAGGTGAGAGTAAGGAGTTGGATGGGGGATTCTGGATAGGGTTTGATTGCATGGGATTGGATTGGATTGCATAGGTGAGGATAGGATAAAAGATGCGTTTATATTGCGTTTGAGCATGGTGTTGGGAGTTGGAAGTTTATGTTGTACATGGTTTACAAACATGATTATATTTTGTTTATAATTTTTATATACCCTCTTTACGTTATGTCTTTTTTTTTTTGATATAGATATAAAATTGTTTTGATGAATGAATGAATAAATGAATAAATGAATTTTTGATAATCGATAACAGATAATAAGATTCTATAATTAAAAAAAATATATATAATTTTTAAGAGATAAAAAAGGAATCGGGGTGGGGGAGAGAGAAGAATATAAATAAATTAGATCATTTATATATATCATTATATCATCTAAACGATAGGATAATATTCAAATCTCTAGAATCTAAATGTGTTTTTAAGGGTATCTATTCTCTTAATCTATGGTGAAGATTACTCCAATCTTTATGCCAATGTTATTTTTCCTGCCTCTGTTATCGACAGGGGATATTATCATAAACCAAAGCTCTCAAATCGCAAGCTTTCGTTGGATGTTTCATCTCGAACCACATAATTTCAGACATCTCTTTGATGATCATTTCATCCCCAAACATAAAATCTTTTGACTCTCTCATTTCCAACCTTTTACTCAAATTCCCTTTTCTCTCCTAGCTTCGCCCATCCTTCTAGCACATCCCTATCAACATTGATCGCCCACTCCGTCTGAAAAGTATCCTCTCCACAAATCCTCACCACCTCCCCCAACCTGACCTTAACAAACTCCCACGCATTAACTTGATGAATTGGATCAATCATCTTCCACTCTCTCTTCCTCTTATCCTCTTGAGTCTCTCCCTCATAAGGTTGCTGTTCCCCCCAAATTAAATTATCTCCCCCGACATCATCTCTACCCGCCATCATCTCACTAATGACACTCGTCCACATCGCAAAAAAGTCTTGAAGTTTTGAAAGTATAACTGGTGTCATTGGAGGCTGAAGTTCAAGAAGGCGTGTTAAGGCTAGACAAGAAAGTTTTTGTCTATCAATGTTTGCCATACTGTCAAAATGACGAAACCATTCTTCGCTCAACCACTTCCAGATATTTTCAAAATTGTTATCAATGCCACCAAGGAGATTAGCAAAAACGGTTGGATCTGCTAGAGCGATGCGGGCGAGAATTGTGAAGTAGTCTGTTTCAACTACATCGTCTAATTTTGGATACCTGCGATCAGGACCAGTGGTTTGATGAGCTTCCCATGCATCTAGTAGTCCCGAAAAGATTTTTTCCGTGTAGCCCGATTCGTGGAGATCTTTTGTAATTTGTGTTACACCATTTGAACCTCCAAGTTTTTCAGCGGCACGAATTAGATCTTCGACGGTCGTGGTAACTAGACCTGCAAGGTCGCGTTTTGTTACTCCTAAAAGATTTGCCATGTATGAGAGAATTCGAAGTCGGTTCGTATCACCGAGCATAACTTCCGGTGCTAATATAATGTATTCATTAACGATATTGAGAATGACTCGAAGATTATCGGAACCAAGTTCTAGTAGAGGAAAGGCGCAGTCAACAAGAGCTAAGACTTCAGGGGATGCAGGTGATGATGTCTGAGCGAGAATTTGTGACCACAAATCAAGAGCTTCGTCCATAAGATAAACCTGCATTTCAGAACCGGGTTCCACAGCACGTTGAATTAGAGGTAAGATTAGTGAGTGATAACGTTCAGATTGACCTTGCATGGAAGATACAAGGGTGGACATAATTGTTAGAATGGCCTGCTTGAGTAGATGTTCTTCTCCAGAAGCTTCCCAAAGACCTGGCAGAATAGAAACAATTTGATCTGCATACGGAGCGATATGAATTTCTAACCTGACAGCAATCATTCTGATCGTTTCAAGTATTACCAATTTTGTCTCCGTATTTTCGACTTCCTGAATCAAAGCCATAGTGCGACCAAGTATATCTGGGGCATATGGTAGAAAAGGTTCAACATGAAATTCGAAATCATCAACAATCGTCTTAAATTGACGAGCTGCAGTAATGCGAACGACGTGATCATTTGTCTCATCTTCTGCTTTGAGTAAATGTTGAAAGATTTGATATACCAATGGTCTATTAGCTTGTGATACTCTGACAGGAATCCATTGGCCAAGTAGAATAGCAATTCGTCGACGAAGTACCTTCCAGCTCTGACCTGTTTGTTGAACATCATTAACTAGAGTTGATGTTAGAAAGGTATCGAAGTCAAAGCTTTGATGTATAACGGCAGCAGACAATCCCATAGCAGTGTATACAGCATCCTTAGTTACTACAGATTCCCCATTACTACCTGTAACCGAGTGGAAGTATTGTAGCAACGGTGCCACCAGAAGATCTTTAAAATTGATAACAAGGTCCATGAAAAGCTTTTCCGCACAAGGTCGAACTTCAAATTCCCAGGTGTCTCCACCACCTTCTTCACGAATCTCCCATTCATCCTCATCTTCTTCCCAAGACTCTAGATCAACTTGACGGAAGATGAAAAACTTAGTAACGATAACACTTGCCATCTCGGCGATTAATTGTTCGGTAAGCAACTCGGATTTGAGGAATCCCACAGCTTGTTGCTGTTCCTCTTTGACTTCTGGAGTCCTGTATTTGAACGATTGTGCTGGGCTAAATACCATCTTCATACAAGCTCGCAAAAGTGTAAGACCTTTTAGACATAGTTTTTCCATGATTGGTCTACCTTGTTTCGACCCATCATCAGTTGCTAACGCCTTGGCACTAAAATCCTGTGTTGCTGACCCATACGAGTCTCCAAATTTCGCAACGAATCCCCAATATGCTCTTACCAAATCTATAGAATTAGGTAATAAAGCGAATGCAGCAGGATGTGTGTTTGACATTTGGACGTGTAGTTTTGCAAATTGGACGAGATGTTTCTCAGCCAGTTCTTTCGCGGGAGAAGCCCCGATTGCCGATTCCCCATTTACCATTGTCAGCAGCTGACCGAACTGTTGCTGTGATTGTTGCCATATTTGTTGAACATCTTTGTCATGATTTGGATACTCATAACCCACGATAAGTAATCGTCGAAGAATTTTGATCGCAACCAGACTGTTTTCCATGGCACCTATTGCCCCGCCGTGATCTTCTGAAGATGTCTGAGTAAGGAAGCTTAGCCATTGTGAGACCTTTTGTGTATAAATGCTGCTTAACAAGAATACCATCTCTGGCGTGACCGATTGTAAACTTGTTTGAGATCTCCTTAATCGTGCAGTAGCTAGTTCCTTGACAACCTGTAATAATATCAACATTCCTCTTCGCAGATGAAGTTGATTTGTTTCATTCGCCGTTCGAAGCATTGTAATTAAATTTGTAAGGACATCCGGCCAATCCATAGGATAATCCACCCGGACTACTTTCGAAATCACCAAGGCATTTTGCAAAGCAAGTTGAGGATCGGTCTCTTCGAATCCGCTCTCCAACAAATGGGATCGAATATGCTCTTTCTCTTCCGCAGTAATAGCATTTGGAGCTGTCTTTCGCCAGTACTTATCGATGCCATTCTTCAATTGTATGATCGCAAGATATCTTATTTCGGAGGGTAGGGACTTGTCGAGATATACTGCCTAAGCAAAAGCATTAGTCAAGGAGGCAGATTTCAATACCCATGGAGAAAATACCTGCAGTAAAGTATAGTATCCTCTCTGTGTCTTCCAAGCTTCTAGCTGTTGTGTTCCAGTTTGGATAGCTAGCTGTTGAGAGGACCCCGCCGACTGCAAGGCTAGAAACACCTGCTGAGGATTAAGAGGAGCTGCTTCACCAGGAACTTCGATCGAAAAGGCCATGATGAAAGCTTTGAAATCTCGACAGCAGATTAAAGAATGTAAATAATTATCTTCAAGACGCGAAAGAAAGTTGTGGTGTATTATTGAAACTGCGCCCCACCATACGAGCTGTTTTTGCTGAGGTCTTTAACTTTTTGTTTGAGCTTGTGACACTTCACTTCATTTTTCAGCCTTGTCTTGTCAGTGCACCACCGACTTTGAGAATCCACCAAAAGATCGATTAATCAAACCCCGGATGGCAAGAACTCTAAATATAAGGTTATTAAAGTAAGATAATTAATTAAAGTATATATAACGTGGTAGAAAATCATCACAAATGGATCTTTGCCATCTGGAAACAAACGACGAATGGTTTAAATACGGTTTGCTCCTTGGTGCTATTCGGACTCATATAAGAAATAGATTCTAGAGCTCTATTTTAATATCACCTCTAATCAATTCGCAGCTCAAAGGTGGAAAATCACTGAAACATAAATATCAAGAATCAAACATCTGGACAGGAGGGAATATAAATTCACCTTGGATTCGAATTTACATCTTACAATCATGGTCAAAATACCCAAACCCAATTCTGCTTCGAAGCGTGTCCTCCCATTCATATCCCAGCACGCAAAGCAGAGCAGCTACAAGCTGATATAAACAAGGACCGCAACTGAGACTCGCGGCGTTTTAGGCTTGAAAGGCTGCAGATTAAACCATCCTTCTGCAGGTTCGTAGCCCGTTTATGCTGCTGCATATATCCCCATATCCTCCTTGCTGCAGCTGCGAAGGCAGAATTAGTTTATTTTGAATGCCATGCTGCGATTGCATAGATGGGGAAGTAATTGGAGCTCCGCGGTCTGAGTGTTGACCGGACTTTGGATATCTATCTAGAAAGCCATATTTACTTGGCCCATTTTCTGCAAGGAGTTTCTTAAATTTTAGGGGAATTAATTGCTGTATGAGAAGGATTCGATACTTCCAAAGAAAAAAAAAAGACTACTCACCGTATAGCGCATGCGGAGCAACGGATCTTTGGGATTTTGTGAAGACTTGTGTTGATTACGTCAGTGTCTTGCCCTAGAATAAATCAGTGGGATCGATGGGAATTCTTCCCATCGGTCCCATCGATTCAAATCAAGTGGGAGCAATGGGACGTATAGCATGGAGGTCTATATAAACAGGATGGATTTCCTTTGTAAGAGCTTCGTGCTCAAGATCAATCATTTAGGATAATTTACTATTAGTTACGAATTGCATATCATTACCATTGTTACTTAAGTCCCTACTTGACGCTTAGTTATAAACCACCTTGAGAGCCTAGAACACTTCCACGTGATCTATACGGCAAACCTCGTAACACTCACTTAGTAAGAATGTCGATGATCATTTTTGGTGGAGAACATGTTTTTCGCGCCAAGGTCGAGAGCATAGCAATCATGGTCTGGTATTTCAAATAGGCAAAATAATAGATGTCATCAATAAATACCTAGGTCCATACGTCTGGTGATAAATGTGATTGCCCTCGCTTAGCGAGACAGGAGGTCGAGACAGCCATAATAGGCGAGAGAAAATAAAGTTTTCTTAATCAAAGTAATGGATAACTAAGAACAAGTGATAATTTATATAATATATTTTAAATTAGATTAGATGTTAGAATAGAGGCTGACTGACGGGATGAACGAGCTCCAGCTGGAAAATTTAAATGTAATGGGAATTGCTTAGTAGATCACTCTAGCACGACAGGACTTTAACTAAGTGTTACAGGGTAACAGTCAACCTGTCCACATGAGCTTAGGCCTCATCGAAAAGCAAGGCAATTTGTATACAAATTTGTATAGTAATCGACTCATATGGTCTCCCCACCCTCAGCAAGCTCGGATATATAGTCTGATCGTAATCACGTGATGGATCATAAAATCTAAAGGATCTAGAAAATCGTATTCTAGATCTACTAGATCCTTATAATCCAATTGATACAAAGGTTTATATAACTAGGAAAGGATTCCTTTTGTAAAAACTTCATACTCAAAATCAATTATTTAGTATACTCTATTATTAGTTACGAATTGCAATTATTGATATTACTTTAAAGCCCTTGCTTGACACCTAGTCATAAACCATTCGAGGATCCAGGCCATTTCCATGTGATCTAGATCGCATCCCTCGTAACACTTAATTAAAATCAAATAATCGGCCAAAGAAAAACTGAGAGATTATAACATAAGTCTTAAGATTATACTTATAAGATTAAGTACAGATATCCTTAAGCGGTTATAGACCATTATTTACTTTTATAAGAATGCTATTATTTGTATAGGAAAATATAAATTATTAAAAAATAATAATAATTCTTTTTATCCGTTCAAGACTTTTAATAATTTTATATTATTTTCAAAAATAAAGATTAATTGTTCTTTTAACTCTTATAGATAGATCATTTTAGTAATTTAATATTGAAATTTTTAATAAAGATCTTTAATTTGATATACGGGTTATTTCTTTATATTGTGGAAAAGTGTGAATGTATCTTAGTTTACTCAGATAAAATGGAATTTAAAAATATCGTTTACACTTCAAGCTGTAAGAATTATATAATAAGAGATATGAACTATCATTTCAAAATTACATTCGTATACTGATACATTTATTTCATATATACATAACAAAAACGCCTTTCATTTACACCCCTTAAGCAGTAGAAGCATGACCACCCTTAACAGGCGCACCATTAGTCTCATTATGACTCAAAGTAACCCCCTTCATCATATTCGCCGTACGATTTGCCTTGTCCCTCGCCATCCCATTATGTGTACCGCTGAAATTTAAATCAGCGATCCCAGGATATCCCTTGGTTCCAGTAGCTTTCTCAAGACGACTGGCTAGATCCTCAGATACTTCACGGAAAATAGCAATTTGACGCTTGATAGCCTCTTCTTTCTTACAGTTGGCCATGTGACCAGAAATATTTTTGATAAAGCGATCTTTGGCACCGTCGTCGAAGACTTTTTCCCAAAGGATACGCGGAGCCTTGAAATCTTCCTCTCGGATTTCGGAAAGGAAGGTCACGGCATTGCCAGTAAATTGACCGTGCACTTTATCGGCATTAACCATTCGGTCTTTAAAGTGGATCGGTTCAATGGAGGAAATATAATTAGGACGAGAACCTTGGTTGTAGAAAGCCATGCTGCCATCGCGTTGGAAATTGCCCATGCGGTAACTTGTGCGTGGGGCATTGACAGGAAGTTGTTGGTAGTTTACACCAACACGATGACGATGGGCATCTGGATAAGAGAATAGACGAGATTGAAGGACTGGGTCAGCCGAGGGCTCGAGTCCTGGTACTAAATGGGCGGGGTTGAAGGCGACTTGTTCAATTTCGGCAAAGTAGTTGACGGCATTTTCGTTAAGAGTCAACTCTCCGACCTTACGGAGAGGAAACTGCTTGTGTGGCCAAACATGTGTAAGATCAAAGACGTTGATCTTTTCCTTCTCCCACAAGTCCTCTGCCTCTTTAGCAGTCATTGTCTGAACTTCGAGTGACCATTTAGGGAAGTCTCCTTTCTCAATAGCCTCATATAAATCCTTTTGAGCGTAATCCGGTGACTTCTCGGCAGACTCTTCTTGTGTGAAGAACTTTGTTCCTTGCTGAGAGATCATGTGGAATTGACAGTATACCCATTCTCCTGCCTTGTTAACAAGCTTGATAGTATGTCCAAAGTATCCATGCATGTGACGCCATCCATCTGGAATACCACGATCACCCATAAGGATCATGACTTGATGAACAGATTCAGGATTCTGGGAAAGGTAATCCCAGAACATTGTCGAATCGTCAGCGTGTGTAAGATGCGTTGATGGATCACGCTTCTGAGTGTGAATGAAATGTGGAAACTTGGCTGGATCTCTCAAGAAGAAAACAGGTGTATTGTTAGCAACTAAATCCCAATTGCCTTCATCCGTCTTAAACTTGACGGAGAATCCTCGTGGATCACGAGCACAATCGTGCGAACCAGATTCACCACCAACTGTAGAGAATCTGACAGTGATTGGGCACTCCTTGCCTTCTTGGAACATGTCTGCAAGACATAAATCATCTAACCCATTTGTAGTTTTGTATGTTCCATGAGCTCCACCACCCTTAGCATGGACCACACGCTCAGGGATCCTCTCGCGGTCGAAATGTGAAAGGAGGTCGATCAAGTGGAAATCCTGGAGAAGTAATGGTCCATTCTCGCCAACACGTTGAGTCTCATATGGGTGTGGCATTGGTACGCCATTGGCAGTTGTATAAACGACATCTTGAGACTTTGCATTTCTATCATCTTGATAGTTGCGAAACTGATCACCCGAAGTCTTTTGAGAAGACATAATGAATTATTAGAATGACAAAGTTTTAAGTGAATTAGAGTAAACGGTATTCAATGTAAATAGAATAAGGGGGAAATCATTAAATGAAATTTATTAAATCAACAAGCAGAGGATCAACCATATATGGGCAGTGACTGCCACACATTTTACCCCACAGTCAATGACTTCATGAGTGCCCAGATGCGCGATGTTCAATTAAAATTCCTTGATTGGTTGAACAATGCGCATTGAATTCAATTTCATAGAGATCTTGGTTTTGGTGTTGACACTTGCCTTTGGGTCCTGTAGTGGGGGAGGAACTAGCCAGCCGCTAGGTACGGTACCACGGCGATACTAACGATCGAGAGTTTGTTGATTTGGAAGCTCAGATTACGTACCAGGTAATCTATCAGATCTTCGGACATTCTTGATACCCATTCCATCTCCTAGAACAGAGTGTCTTTCGGGAAAGCAGCTGAGCAATTACATGATTCGTTGGTCAACTGTAAAATTCATCAGCAATTGTCTATCCCAAACCTAGGAATTGTAAGCTTCATCATCGGGTTCTCGCAGGAGATAGATCGTGTTCTTATTGTGCTCAATACGGAGACAAAGAAATGATAAGGGGCCCCTGGGAAAACCATAAGGATCGGAATTCCAACTTTCATCCATGGCATTGTACATTCTCGATGACACAAATCAGGTAAGACGATGATGATCGAGATGAGAAAGAATAAACCCGGTAAATCAATACGAGTACGAAATAATGGAGCTTCGGGAATCAGAATGACATCGTACTACAGGCATTGTGGCTGCAAGAGTGGATTTTCAGAAGGCGTGTGGTGATGTCGGATATCAAAAATATCAAAATTCAAGTTGTTGGTGGCGAGCTTCCCCGCAGTAAACTTACTTACTCATGAATTAGTCATCAGTCTGGTCCCGGAAACCCACCAAACCTTCATGCTAGAAGACGCATCTAGGGAAATACTTCCTGATCCGTATACGTTGTATTCAATGAAATGGGAATTATTTGAAGTTGTGGGTGGAGAATTGATACATGATTTATGAATGTCAATCCAGTCTTCCAAGGTCAAAAGACGCATCAAAGTTCTATCACAGTTATTTCATCATATAGCGACTATGCTTAAAAAATATTGAAATCTGTTGGTAATATCTCCCGTCTCAATCCTGCCGATGATGCACAAAAGTCCCATAGTATACAGAAAGCGCCCCACAGAGTACATTCCCATATCCATTAGAAATTGAAAACAAATTCACAGTACCTTTTCCAAAATCATGGTTTGGCATGGTGTATAATATCATGTTATAGGCACCTCATGCCTATCCTCAATCCTCAATCAAAACTCCAATTCTATAACGCCTCTTATACTTCCATGTCTCTATATCAGATTTTCGCAGTATCAACAGCCTCTACTAATCCCCTATATTTAGCCCAAGCAACACCTTCCGGAATTTCTTTCAAAGCCTCTCTTAACCTGTGCCTATCAAACGGTAGATTATCGCAGGAAATCGCTTTCAATATATGGCTTGCTATACGTTGTGTCCCGGTAGCTGCTGTTCGAGCTCCTGGCTTAGTGAATAGGTTGAAGATCTGTGAAATAGAAAGGTGGTCGTTATGATACCAAATGAAGTAGTCCTTGAGGATTGGGCGCGTGAGTTTCGTTTCTGGATTCGCCGCGAGATGGAGGACGATAAGTACATCAGCTGCTAGGGCGATGGAGGATGCTTCGGAATCGTCACGGGTGAGGACTGGTTGTGCTTGACTTGTTTCCTTGGGAACTCCAAGACTAGGTTTAAAAGCTTGTGAACGATCGGTTCTCCATGGGAGACGATTTGGGGTGGAGATTTTTTCTTCGATGTCTCGGTCGATTTCTATTTCTGTTGCGGCTTCAAGTGGAACTTCAAGGGCGGGTTTGAGATCTTTGGGCGAGGGTTCCGGGTCAAGCAGAGGATGATCTTGCTTAGTCCCACTTCGAGTGGATTTCCTCGTAGAAGTTGGTGTGGGTTTTGGTACGTAAATAGGCTTGTTCTGGTCGGCATGAAAGGGTCGTGGAGGCATCGGATTCAGAGCTTGGCGCTTGCTCTCTAGTATATTGTAGAGGTGGTAGCCGGCATAAGAATCTGAAGCTGCATATGAAATTTGTTGAATTGATAATCCTCGAGTCCAATCACTAGACCTAACACTCCCTCCTTTGAACAGTGGTAGATGTAAATGATCTTCCACTTGCTTTGCTAGGGCGACCAATCTCTTATTGATCAAACCGTATTCCTGGGAAACGGTGTACTTGACTAACCGATACAGGTGACTAAGTTCGAATATAGAGACTGAATGAATACCAAGATATTTTCTAAGGCGTGTGCAATCGGCGCTAATTGCCACGCCTACTTTCGTCACTTCTGGATCCTCCATAATTTTCTTCATAGTCGGAGCCACCAATTCTGAGGCTTTACTCTGGGGGAACAATGCGATGTGGAAAAGTCCGACTCGCTCTTCCGTTGCCAGCTGGATCAAAGACACATTCTTTTTTGCGTCATCATAAACGCGAGCCTCCGCCTTCCATTCTATGTCGAACCCGACGAGCTTTTGGCCCAAAAAATAACGTTTTAACGTTTCTTCCGTAGTTTGTAGACTCCGACAATAGTGTATCTTAACTTTTTTAGGAATACCGTCTTCCTCTGGCCCTCGATATAAAGTATGCGACCAGTAGGATTCCGGTGTCTCTGGTGCGGCCTCTTTCGCCTGTGTGAACAACTCCTCGGTCATTTGGTATGCCAATTCGGATTTGGGAAGTTCCTTCCTAGCAGGATCTTCCTCAATCTCGTCTGCTAATTCTTGAACATCTGCTGTTATTTCAGGCTCCAATATCTCTTCCTTGGCCACTTTCGCCCTTCGAGTCTTCGAGTTTTCAACATGCGCGTTTGCCAGAACATAATTATCTTCGACATATGAATGAAATGCCAAAGTCTGTTCGTGATTTGCTACCGTAGTCGTACTCAAAAGTCTCGGTGACCCTGGGGCAGAAGCGTCTTTGAAGATAATACCATGACTAGGTTGCCATGTTTTCGAGGAATTCGACGCGATTGATCGAGCCACGGAGGGACTAGAGTATGCGCATTAGCTTTGTAGATGTAAATATTATTGAATACAGTTCCAATTCACATACCTAGCTCTTTTTCCGCTCATGCCCCCAATTGCTGAACCCATAGCTTCTATTGACGCCAAACTTGATTTCCCAACCCAGGAACTTATATTCTTCATAATGGGACGCCGGAGTGATTTACCCACCGTATGTGCTCCATGATTACTAGGGAGCATGACACGAGCTTATGCATAGAGAACTCTGGCCCTATGAAGGAATGGAGGGGTTGGGAAGGAAACACCAATCGTTGATCTTGGAAGGTGATGATATGAAACTTTTTGGTATCTGTGCCTGAGGCTTGAAAATTAATTTGGTTGTTTGGTTTGGAGATGGAGAATCACGAGCTACAACTCTTGATTCTGAGGTGAACAGAAAAGATACAAACGACTACCATTTTTCCATCAGAGCGCACGAATTTGGTCATACGCTTTTCCCCATATCACACATGTGAGTCAAATCTTCTCAACCTGGAATGTTAAGCTCACGTGCTCCAACCTTGATTGTCTTCACATATGGGAACACAACTGCGATATCAGGCACAGGAAACCACTAAGATTTTGCATTTTGCTATTGCTATCTCGAGCCTATTCTCATACAATCAATCATTTCGATTCATACAACAAACTAACAATACCACAAGCAAACATCCCTATTTCCATACTCCAAACCAGTCATCCAAAATGGCCAGCCAGCTTCTCCCTCTCGGTCAGTCACCTTATTCAGACACACAAACACACCTCTCACTAACACATCATCAGAACTCATCGATAAATGTGTCGGTTCCAAAATCTGGGTTGTTATGAAAGGTGACAAAGGTACAACCTCTCCATCATGACCCATCTCTTCTATCACTCATCCTTACTCACACCAATAGAATTCACCGGCACCCTTACTGGTTTCGATGACTATGTCAATATGGTTTTAGAAGATGTTATTGAATTGTACGTATAATATCGCATTTCTACGAGTATTTTTTGAATTTTACTGAGGATTCATAGTGATCACCAATCTGGAAATCAAACAAAGCTTCCTAAGATTTTACTGAATGGTAACGGTATCGCTATGGTGCGTATCTATGTCGTGGTCTACATCACATAGCAAGAAACTAATAATAGAGCAGTTGGTACCAGGTGGAGAAGGTCCAATCGGGGCATCATGAGCATCAAGTGCATTGTAAATAAGTACGATTTGATCCAGAATCAACGATGGAACGTGCTGATTCCACTGAAGAAAGGCATGCACCTTACTCTTTCTGGTTCTGAGACGGGCTGGGCAGAAATGAAAGCAGCCCAGGAAGCAGCTGGTGGTCAAGTTCATCAAGCAGAGATGAGAAAAATTAGTAGTGAAAAATTAGTAGTGATACTACCAAAAGTTAAGGAATTGATCATTTTGTAAAGAGCAGTGCAAAGTTTTGCGCCCACGTTACTACTATCTTATTCTGAGGCCTTGATATCGTTTCCTCAATTACTCCAGAGAATTTCAAGTGGGACCTTTTGGTACCTTGTCATTACTCGAAATTTTACCATCAAAATCCGCAAGTGCGATACCCAAATGGTCTTTCATGATACATAAAATCATCCCAAAGTATTGGAGAAGCATCATTTCCATACGTTAATACACACATTATCGATTATATCCGCAAAAACTATCCCCTCGTCCCACTCTCCTCCAACGTCGGCGTCTCAGGCCCACCATCCCCCTTCAAGATATCCCCCCAAAAATCATAAAAAATGCTATCCCTCGGCGTAACATGCTCCTCGCCATCCTCCTCTCTAAAATCATTTCCTTTCCCCGCTCCCTCCGCTTCAACTCTATAATTCTCCGACCACCTCTTAAACATCTGTTCCGTCTTCGCCCCCTCAATCTCCAACGAATGGGTCTGCCACTCCGGAAACCCTATTTCGATATCCCGGGGACTATCGCCCATACCTCCATATACAAGTCTTTGACTCTCCTGCCTGACAGGTGATGGATTTACGATTTGCGGTCGACTATTTTCTACTTTGGATACCTGGATTAAATCCTTTGCGGGAGCTTGATAATCTTTAGCTGGAAGCGGAGGTCGATAATTAGGGTCGTTATAAGGAGGAGGCGTAGTAGCAAGCATATCGCGCATGTAAGCAATATGTTGATCTTTAAGTGGTGGCGTGGGACGAATATCACCCATATCCCTAGAATGCGGAATAGGTTCCTCCCATGCTGTGTTATTCAAGAGATTCCTTTCGCATGTATGGCAAAGACCGCGAGGACCGCTCGCTCTGCGTTTGCGACAGAGTTTACAGCTATTTTCTAAATTTTTACTCCATACTTCGTCTCCATTGCTTTCTTTCCTCGCATTTTCCGATCCTACTCCACGTGCTAAAATATTTTCCTCGGCTTTCTCACCCGGATGAGGCGCGGTTAGAATCCCACTCTCTTGATTTTGATCGCCTATGCACCCCCAAAATTCCTCATCACTATCTTCCTCCTCTCTCCCTCTATCCTTCGGCTTTGATTTCTTCTTCGACCCCGCACTACTTCTATCTCCTTTCTTCCCTTCATAACTCGAATACAACAAATATTCAAACGGACTCGGTAACTTCGTTTTCGAGTTCGTTTTCTTCTCAAAAGAATCATGTACAACCTCCACGCCATGTCCCATATACCCTTTCAATATCTGAATCGGGCTAGCTCTCCCTTCTAACATTTTCCCCTTTCCTTTTCCCTTGCTATTCCTACTTTTGCCACTGGAAGTAGAAGTCGGAGTCGAGGGATGTAGAATGTCGATGTGTTTTGGTACTTCTCTGCTGGGCGGTACAACTTTCTCCAACTTTCCGTTCCACATCGCCCTTCTCATCATTTCTAATTGTTCAATCGTCGTTACTTCCTCTTTACTTTCTCTTTGTACATCCTTTTCTCTTCTCTCATGGGCACTTGCAATCTTATCTTTACCGACAGTCTGCGAGCGGGAACTAGCAGGCGTAGTCGCGTGACTCTGATCTCTTTCCTCAAACTTCGCTTTCCTTCTCAACCTCCTCTGCCCAGGCGCAGCCTTATGTTTCCCCATTCCCATCCCGGCACTTCTCTCCCTCGAATTTTCTGCATGAATTCCACTATCTGTCGTCCCCGTCGTCCCGGTTGCACTTACCCCGCTCCTAACACTACTCCACTGCACATCCGAAAACCTCACACCATCCCCTTGACTCATATTCCCAGGCCCAATCCCCATCTCATTAGCATGCCCAACAGGCACCGAAATGGGCGTTGACGAATAATTCGGGCTCGTACGCGGCGAAGTTGTACGCGAAGAATCAGCTCGTAAAGAAGCATGTGGCGGACTAGGACTATTCCCCGCATTTTCATATCCCTTTCCGAAGTCTCGCTCGAGCCCACGGTGCTGTATCAAAAAATTATCAAAATCCAACTGCATCATACCATGCGCAAGAGCCTGACGCTCTCGCATTTTTTGCGAATCTCCTGCATCTTCACTCGCCACAAATTTTGGCGGACTGATATCTCGCGGCGGTATACTCCCTTTCAAGGGACTATTCGGCGGACTTGGAGAGTTATTTCCCCCATTATACCCCTTCCCAAAATCTCTCTCCAACCCTTGTTGCTGTTTCATATACGCCTCGAAATCCAGTCCTCCAGCCCCTTGTTCACCACTTATCCTTCCTCCCGCCTCCTCCCTCGGCTTCAAATAACTCGGCCTCTTCTTCCCCTTAACATGTTTATACCTCTGTTCCAAACCCTTCTCATGAGCCTGACTTCCCACAACAGCAAACGAATCCTCCATTTCACCGCGCGAAGAAAAGCTCCCCCTCACGCTCCCGGAGTGGTATTTCCCAACCTGCGTCGGAACAGTCGGTGGATGCATTTCTCCAGGTGGATAGCGAACACTAGTTCCATGTCCCGAGCGGGAAAAGTGTTGACTAGTAGGTCGTGTCCCAAATCTCACGTGGAGTTTTAGATATCTTTTTATGCGGCGGGTAGTGCTGCGTAGAGTACTGGTCTTGGTGGAAATGGGAGAGCTGGATCGTTGAGGTGGATTGGGTTTGATGCCAGATGCGGGTGCGGTGGTGAGAAATTTAGTGTCGTTGCTAAATTTATCGGGGGGCGTGGGATGAGGAGGTGTGGATATCCTGCCACGCACTTCGTTATAGGTTGTGTGGGTGATCTTCATGATGAGTAGGTAAATATTTTTGTTCCTTTTCCCTAGGATTTAAAATGACACTTATTTGAGATATTGTTGCAGAGGAAAAACCGTGGCTTCGAAAGATATTGTTCTTTAGTTTACTTAACACTTCTCTCCTTCAATTAAGCTCAGCTCAGGGTAATATATCTTATATTTATGAGACAAAACCCGTATCTCCAAAGTTGACCGTTTTCACAGAAAGCAATATGATATGTATGTATGAGCTGGTGATCAAACACAGTATGAATAATAAAGTAATAAATATAAAACTTCGTGTGTTTGCAAAAAGTAGAAAAATTCTAGAATGCAAACATTTCTTCCTTGGTCATTGTTTTGTATACTCGTACCTGCACATGGCGGTGACTAAGTCTTCTTTATGAATTCATTTCCTTTCCTTTATGTATTTAATTATATTTTTTGCCACACATATCGAACCTTTGAATAGCTATTTATAATTCCCTCTTTCCATACAAATTATTTATTTTCATTTTTTTTTTTCATTCTCCGTCCTCGAACCAGATTTCTTATTCATTTCTCAGTTATCTCATGTTCTTTGTGGGTAGTACCTCGAAATATCTTCGGCCTTTGTCGAATGGACGAGAGCGTAGCTTCATCTTGTTTTTCTCTGTCCTAGTGTCTCTTTGTTCGGTGTACGAATGACGCGCTGTTGGGAATATTAAGAATAAAGAACGTATAGCACTTAGGCAATTGGAATTCAAATACAAAGAAGAATATCACATAGGCATTATGAAAGCTTTTTCCGGACCCTCAATCCGTCCTCGGCAGTTGGCTCTGGTCTTTTCGATAATATTAGACTCCTTAACGCCACTGATGCCGAAGAATGTGGCATAAGGATATGGTAGGTGGATGAGAGTATTGTACACACAGAGATATATATATACTTTCACAAGTTGACAATCTATAGTTGTAGAAACTCATGCGTGACATGATATTAGAGCGTGAGAGCGTACAGGCAGAAGATAGTGAGTACCATTTCTTATCTCTCACAAACTCACACAATAGTATTGGTTGTGAACCCGAAATCCACCATTGGAGCTCAAACAAGATTTAAGCGAGGAATTAGGTCAGTTCAGAAATCTCATGACTTATTCACTCAAATAGAATGACACCGGATGGCAGGTCCGAATTCTTGAAGATATTTAAAAATCATCTAATTCCATCTATAACCATCGAATTTTAACCCTTGAAAACCTCACCAAACCAGCGAACAACATCCATAACCATCGAATATCAAAGACTCGATACATGATCATCTAAACTACCAATCGCCTGTCAACGAACTAGAATCAAACCACCTCTAACTCCCCAAGTCTTTCTAATTCCAGCATAGTACCTGATCCTTGGAAAACGTACTGTATAGCAATATTTTCTCCTATATGCATAACATTGTGAATTGAAATCTGCTGCCAGCTTTCAAGTCGGGAAATCGCGCGGTTATGGGAATGTGAGATAGGTGTAATGACGAGGGGAAGACGGTGAATATAGCCCAGATCTCCGGATAAAATGTATCTGGATCGAGATGCGTGTAAAACCCTCTTCCATAAATCTCCGAATTCCAATATATATGGAGGAAGGCCCTCGATAAATGCATTGGGTAATGTCAGACAGACAATCACGGCAGGTGCATCCTCAGCCCTCCTCATGATGTATCCTTTGTACCGCTTAGCAACTTCGAACTCCCGTGTAAAATAGAATAGAGTTCCTCCGACGCCTCGAAGATCCGAAGGTGAGTTGCTCTCGAGGCCAGGCATTCTAATCTTTCCTCCTTCGTTTCTTAATAGGCGGTTTTTAGTAATCGCTTTGAACAATATTTGCTTGCCTGGTACATTTGACGGTCGCGATATTGAGGTTGCTATACCAATAGAAGGTGGTGTGATACCTTCTGCTCTTGCTTCACTGTCCTCTTTTACTCTTTCCAAGGTGGCATATCGAATTTCCATCGTATCTCTAACCCAGTAGCTTGCTGATTCCGTTTGCCTCACATCAGAAAATTCATGATCCATGATTGCATTTATAAGTTGTGATCCAACTCCCCAATCCTGCATATGTATCGCCCAATCATCTTCGCTATCCTCTACCACATCATTAGGTATACTGCCCAAAGCGAGGTCGAGAAACTCCACCTCAAAAACGGTGTCTTTGTCCTTATCATTTGCAGACTCTTGTATACTTCCCCATCGACTCCAAAGTTCCGCAGCTTTTTGTGGTCCCCAACCCAGATACTCGAAAGTTTCCTCGCTATGGAGGAAATTTGGAATGATGAAAAAGCTTGTTTCGGAGCTATCATCGGAGCCAGAGCTTGACGAAGTTATCTCTGAGTTCATAACGGAAGAGGAAACGTATCGTCGTCTTCCAGTTGCCGGCTTCAAGTGTTTGCGCTCGGTAAGTATGGCATCATCGGCCGCAGTAAAAATCGGATTGGAAGCCATGGTATTGTGTGAGAGATGGAACCTTGAACTAGAATTGAGATAAAACTTTGAATTGTGTCGGGGAAGGAACCTTGAAGTGTGATAAATGTGGTTGATTTTTTTTAGAATCCGGCGGACGAGACGAATACTTTTATATCAGCAAAATTAATGCAAAGAGGTGGGGCTGGGTCTATATATGATTCACAAGTTCGATCCGTAACTAGTTTTCTAGCATTTGGATCGGACATCCTATAATTTTGGCATAGCAACAAACAGATAATTATCGACAGTATAAAAAATAAACCCGCCTAATCCCAATTCGAAAAAGATTTTCCATCTAGGAGTGTTAATCTGATCTTAGAGTTTGAAAACAATACTTCGGCTAGAACCAGTCTTCTTAGCTCCCCCCTAATCTTCGCCCTTAACCATGTTCTCTCACTTCCCCCGCACTTGCTAAGAGATAGAAATCATCATGCTACGGCACAAATGTTATCCACACATAAATCTTCCATTCCCCAACAAATCTACAAAAGCCCGTCTTTTCGTTTCGTGAACCTGCTTCCAGAATCCAGAGTAACCCAATACTCAAGACAAGAATCACTCAGACAAACCACAATCCACCGCAACAAAGATTCTATTCTCTCATCCTGAATTCCCATTCCAATCCCAATCCCATCCAATCCTCCACTCCCTATTACCCCCACCCAGCATATACAGGAACCAACTACAGGAACTCATTAGCTCTCCTCTCCAGATCCGAATATTTTCCCATCCAGCCAGCTATTGATACGATTATACAACTACCTAGCACATCCATCCGTGTACGCATTCTCTGAATCCCAATTGACCATGAGAAGGCCACCAGAGTTTCCTCGTTCGGAAGAAGTGACTACCTAGTAATTAAGATCTTACTTCCCTTCCCTAGCTATATTAGAGCATAAGCACATTCGCATTCGCATTCATACATAGCATTGCATTGCATTACTCCGTACATTGCATCAAATCACGAGCAGCGCGCAGATCAAGAGTTTTCTCAAACGATTCATTGTATCCTATACAAATTACTCAATCAAGCCCGTTAAGCCATTCCATTCCGTGTTCATTCCACCATTGAAACCCATCCTTGCTTCCTTCCTGTAAAGACAACGCTTACAAATTCAAACCATTCCCATCTCGTTTTCTCATGGCATCTCTAGTACCTTGCTGGTAATGCTCATGCAACGCTTAACACACCAAATGCTCCATGCTTAGAACTAACCCATACTCCACGATCCATGTCATGCCCAATACCTATCCCAGAAAGTCAAACTCCATGGCAATGCCGTGCTAAAGTGGACTAAAAGACCAATACTAATACAGCATGGATGTAATCTTTTCAGAGACGAAACCCCACGGTCCACTGCGTCCAGCAAACCATGAGACTCCCTCAAATGAAATCAACCATGCCGATTCCCAACTCCAATACAATGCAGTGACAAGACTTTCTCCTTAACAAACACATAGTCCTCTTCAGCAAGCACGATTCAGAACCTCTCAGGTCCACAATCTCCCAAATTCACAATATTCTTTTTTCAATCCACCGCCCGCTACACGTACTTGGATTCTCCAAGCATTGCATCATACATGACTATATCAGACCAAACAAACCCCCGCAAAATCAAAAAATCAGTCTCGTCATGGGGGGACGTCCCCATAACGGAAACACCAAACTCCAGAATAAAAGAAACATCATGAGGGGACGTCCCCACGACGGAAATGTTTCGACATTTCAGCGTAAAATCAAACTCCAATACAAAAGAAACATCATGAGGGGACGTCCCCATGACGGAAATGTTTCGACATTTCAGCGTAAAATCAAACTCCAAGACCTTAAAAGAAACATCATGAGGGGACGTCCCCATGATGGAAATGCTTCGGCACTTCAGCGTAAAAACAGACTCGTCATGAGGGGACGTCCCCATGACGGAAACTCCAAAAGACCCTTTAAAAGAAAAACAAAATCAGACGCATCATGGGGGGACGTCCCCACAATGGGATACAAAAAGAATAGAAATGGGTGCACAGAACGCACGACCAACTATCTTCAAAACTTTTCCGATCATCCATACATACAATGAACAACCAGCACCAGCACCAGCACCAGCATCCATCCATACATCGATATAATCAACAGACTCCACCGCGTCAATCCCTTCTTATAACCAACAGTCACCACTGTCATCCATCCATATAATAAACCGTCGCTGCCCACTAGTCCTGATATGTAGCTTCCATAGAGAAAATAGCGGAAGAAGCAAAGAAAGTTGGCTAAGCAGCAGCAATCTGGTAATGGGATCTCACCATCCCGACCCAGTTCTAGGGTCCTATCCCAAAGAAATGAACGACTCCTGTCCTCATTTCTTGAAGAAAGTTCGCCGTATGTATGTATGGCGTACTGATAACAAAGTTGATATGTTCAATCTTGTAATTGTAAAAGGTGAGAAATCGAAGAATGTCGAATTGGACGCAACAATGTGAGTAGAAGTAGCGACCTTCCACACCCAGCTTTGTTAAATAGTATCCGTGGTACTTCGAAATCTCGATGTAAGTATGTACATAATGTAAAATTCATGTGCCGATGTAAAAGTTCATCTGGTTGGTAGTGTCCGAAAAAGACTTATAGACTTTTGTGGAGGAACTGTATTTTGCTAGTGTATGCAAGTCACTCATCCGAGGGATGGAATTTGTGTTTAAATTTTATGCGGGGAAAAGGAAGCTATTGATCGTATTCATAATTCGCCGCTTCTGAGTACGCCATGAAACCGATCGTTGGAAACTCAGACATGAAGGTGGTGCCATCACGCACCCAATAGTGTAAATTAGATCAAGAAAGCCAACAGTGTGACCCAGATGGAGAGAGCAAGAATGTGACCAGTCAGGAACCAAATCAATAATTTCAAGGCGACTCACATGCCTGATGGATATAAGCCATCAAGGGAGAGCCCCGCAACCAGAGTAGGAGCGTTTTCAATTAATGAGTTTGTGGTTTGATTGAAAGTCGAGTGCCTCAAGGGATACAAGACCCTCGACCTTGTGACTGGTTCAACTCAGCTCAATCTTACCATAATTTGAGGGCGGGTCGGTTAGTTGGACTTTCCGAAGTAAATTCAATAGCCATATCCGGTTGCTCTGGAACCTTGATACCGTTATGCATAGAGCCAAACAGTCTGGGGTCAATTCCCTCAAACAATTTAGCAACGGCTGTTTCTACCTCGCCTCGCTGAAGATCGTAATGTTCATGCCAGATGTGATCGGGCATGGGTGTGATAGGAACGAAACCTTCGCCGAGGCGCTCCAGAACACATTCTTTGACAAGAGGGTCAACGTGAAAGCCGAGGGATTCATCGCTGAAGTCGAAATTGAACATAGGCTTAGACTCCTTCGCCGCTTCTACTACCCTGTCTTGCTCGGCTTGGATTACCCTTTCTTGCTCGGCTTGGAGAGGGCTCATGTTGGAAACCTGTCGAAGGCCACTGCCCTTTGCTGGTAAATATTTATTGGCTCTGCTCATGGCGTGTTTTACAGCCTCAGAGATTGGAGCCGGTGTTTGCTCGACGGCCCCGGGAAGCTTGGCGTTACCAGGCTTGGGTTTTGGTGGAGGCGTTTGACTCCATTGCTTTGGCTCAAGGATTCTGCCTGCTTTCATTTCAACAGCGTCCTTGTAATAGTGTTTCTTGTCCCAATCATGAAGTTGTTGGAAGACGTTGGTTGTCTTCTGCTCGCGCGTTGGTCTTCTGGGATCAAAACCAGGTGTCTTGATAGCGATTCCGAATTCGTCGCGAGGGTTGAGAAGAGGGATTCCTTCCTTGATGTTTTCCATGTGATCCCAGGTGAGTCTCTTGCCTGGAATTTCAAACCTATTGTAAGGACTTCCCAGGTAAAAGATCATGCTCTTCTGTAGCTCATCAGTGATATACGTGTAATCATTTTCGCTCTCGTCTGGGATACCAGCAACGCCTCGGGCACGTAGATTTGCTTGCTCAAGAAGCTGTGCGGAGTTGAGAGGATTCTGAACGCCTGCTGGCTTGAAAATATCTTGCTTCGGGAAGGCGTCAATATCGCGGTAATGATCTGCCCAGCAAGGATCATCATCGGTCACAATGTAGTTGGTTTCAAATTGTCTGTCAGTGCAATTCTCTCTAATGAAAAGACCATTTCGGCATCGAATCCATCTAGGATCGAAACCAGGACCAAAACGAGTTTCGTCGCGCAGAAAATCATTCCAGCGTTGGCTGGTGCGCGGCTTCGGTGCACCGTCAGCATCACGCTTCTCGCCTGCTTTAGCATGTGTAGTTGCTGAGGTTTCTGCCTCGACAGGAGTAGTGACCGCAGCTCTTTGAGACGCTCGTGCATTCCTATGTATGTCTTGATTGACTTCAGTGGGAGGATACAATTCACGACGCCTCGCGGCGTATTCATCCTGTGCTTTGTGCATCTCCTTAATTTCTGCCCAATTGAACACGCTAGGGATGTGGGCTGGTGTCTCTTCAACATGCCTGTGCCTTGGATGAAGTTCTGTTTGAAAGCCGGCAAGACGCCCTTGAACGTTGTTGCCATTATTGCGTTTGCGATCTGAATGGGACATATGTTTGAGGGGAACTGCGGCAGGAGTGGTTGGTGGCTGGTTGAAGATAAAGGGTGGGGCAATTTTGTCGCTAGAAAGCGGATCCGAAGCAGCAGTGGACTGTTTGCGGAAGGGGCTGGTAATCCTCGTGGTAAAATTAGAGATGGTGTTCCACCAGGTACCTTGAGGGCTTGCATCTTGCGAAGGGGGAATTTGTGCTTCAGGCGTTTTTGGTTCATCGACAACTTGTGCTTCTTCCCCATCTGACATATCAGTGTCATCACTATCAGTATCGGGAACACAAAAACCTGAGCGTTTAGGTTTTTTCGCTTGCGGAGGACGCGTGGGCTTTTGAGTAACCATTTGCGCCTTTGGATTGTACAGAGGTTGTTGTGCATCAAAGGCAGTAAGAAATGCCGTAACCTGTTCGATGGATGGCAATGCCTTTGAATTTTTCTTATGATTAGTGAAGACTTTGGCCACAGCTACTAAATAAGGATCCGTTAATCTCATCGCAAACGGAGGTTGAGGAGCTGAATAGGCAGCATCGGTCTGGGAAAGATTTCCACTAGAAGAAGCTACAGCGGTCGTCTTGCGCTCACTCAGATGAGCCACCTTGGATATATTAGCATCATGGAACAAATTATCACGTGAACTATTGAGACATACATCATTGGCGCCAGGAGCAACTTCCTTAACAACCTCTTTCCCTTTCCCTTTGCCTGGTAATGGAGTCCCACTGGCGCCAGGAGTAACTTCCTTGACAACCTCTTTCCCTTTGCCCGGTAATGGAATCCCATTGGCGCCTTGAGCAACTTCCTTGACAATATATTGCCCTTCGCCTTCTAATGGACGCCCAAATAGTAAACGAATTTTGTTGCTCTTCGAAAGGTGAGGTGCAAGAAAATTTAACTGCCTCAATGCATCGAAAACATTCAAGTCGTGATTGGCTCCCCATGGAGTAGGGCCTGTAGGCTCGTCTTCAGACGAGGAAATTTCTTGCTGATGTTGTGGAGTATGTGAAAAAGGAACAGCAGGTTGTTTTGGTGTAAATGTTGATCGAGATTGACGAGGTGATATAGTTGTCTCAGCTGCTTCATCTGAGCTGCTGTCATTGAGGACAATTGGATCTTGCTTGCGACCACGAGTCTTATTTGCAGGCTTCTTGGGAGTCGCCTTTGTGCGGTTGCTGGGTCGACCTCTGGACTTCCTCTTGGGTTCAAGTTCGGGTTCGGTTGATTTCTCAGCTTCAGCTGCGACATCTTCGACACCACTACTTTGCTGCCTTCGTGTACGCTTGCTGGCCCTCTCCTCAACGTCTTCTTCTGTGTTTGCAATTTCACCGCTTTCGTGGGTAGAAGGCTCGTCCTCTCGAGATCTCTTTTTGGATTCCAGCGGAGCAATGCGTGTACGCTTGCCGGCCCTCTGCTCAACGTCTTCTTCTGTGTTTGCAATTCCACCGCTTTCATGGGTAGAAGGCTCGTCCTTTCGAGATCTCTTTTTGGATTCTAGCGGAGCGATGGGCGGAGCGGCTTGCTCATGATTGATGACGTCGTTATCCGAAGACGCGTCGTTAAATGCGATGTTGGTTTTAGGTGGAGGGGAGGTAGAGCGTGAATCGTCTGGCGTGGGTGAAGGTGATTGAGAATCGGGAGAATTTGCCCTGGATGCATTTGCAGGAGATGATTGAGTCTTTTGCGACTCCGTATTATTGTTAGCTTCGGCTGGAGTGATGAATGGATCACTGGACTCGGACTCGATTGAAGGCTCGACAGGTTCGGCCTTAATCTTCTTTCCTCTTCCACGTGTAGACTTCTTTGGGATATCATCAAGTGATTTAAAACCACCTGGACTTGCACCTGCGGCGCGTGTGCGGCGAGCTCCAACCATCTTGAGATGTTTCTCGGGCGATGGCGCGACTCGCGATTTGTGTAAAAGTGGTGACTTGCGACAATGCGAATTGAATTTATGTAAAGAATTTGATATGATTGAAGTGAATCAATCAATAGTATGCGATTCGAGATTCGTTGAAAGTAAGATGGATCTTGAAGTTGTACTTTGTATGCCGTACTTTGAAAAGTTGATGAATCAAGTTGTTTTCTCGGAAAGAAATCGCGGATGGTGAAAAGACTCAAGGTGAAGTTACTGGGCCAAGCTAGTTTTAAAAGTATTCGCTTAAGGAAAACTTATTATGACTCCCGTACTAAAATAGTCGCAATGATCGACTGGCGGGCCGTGCAGACTGTAATCACGTGAAATTTGACCGTAACACCGTAAGATGCAGTTTCGATATTCTTCAAGATTCTTTTTGTTTTATACGAGCGAGGTACTTCTACTGTGCGGAGTTATCATTCACTCATTACTACATCAAGTACGCAGAACTGTAAGGTATACGTCATGTACGGAGGACTGCAGAGTCATTCATATCATCATTACTTGACAAGAATGAACAGTATTTAGGTGCGAAATCAAAGTAAACATCTTCTTATGCTTTCTTTTTCTATTCCGTATAAGACCGTAGAAGTCAAGCCCTATGGTCATTCATTACATAAGCTTTTTTTTTTGGGAAACATCACCAGGACATTTCATGAATCATGAATCATGACACTTCCCCACATTCAAGAACCAACCTATCAAAATTATTATGGATTCTACGTTGTATTATTGAATGTTGACTACGAACCACTCTGTACGCGGACTACTAACCACCCACCCACCTAGGTACGGACGATACAATCAACCATCACATCCATTCTTTCTACAAAACAAACAATGATCAAAATATCCGAGATTGACTTCTCTCTTTCATTAACTAGGTAGGTAGGTAATATCAATCTAGGTCCAACCTACTGAAATAACCACCTCTTCAATCCCAATCTAGTCTAGTGATTTATTTAATCATTTATTTACTCTGTACTCACTTCCCGTTCTGCTTGTCCCAACCTCTCCCTCCACATTACCCCTCAACAAAACCACGGGAACTACCGTAGTGAACTTCCGCTTCAAGCTATCTACCTACAGTGAAGTACTCGTGCTGCCCGAGAGTATATGGCTATCCACTTAAATATGGGCCACTATTCCCTTTACAGTTTACCATTATGTGTGGTATGTGCTTAAAAGTGGATAGCTATACACTTTCTGCTTTCCTACGAGTAACCATTTAATTCAGCCTAAAGCAAAAAAAGGCCACGATTATGAATCATTTTCACTCTTTTTTCTTCACCACTCCTCACTAATATCTAACATCAGGCTACCTGTACTTTCTTTATACAGCGATGGAAAAGATAAATTCCTCTAGCTCTAATATATACCCCTCATAATAGCGTGCTTTCACGTTACACACTTTCTTTATCTCTAATTGTATTGGTCTCTCATTTTTCATCCATTGCTATCCGTCCATCCATCCATACATCCATCTCCTCCATCTCCTCCATCTGCTCCATCTGCTCCATCTCTCCCACAATCCACTCCTTCCTTCTCATCTAATATCACCATTTTCACCCATCTTAATCTCCTCCATCCATCTCCTACCATCCAAGTATCCTACCATTCACCGTCTCTCTCTCTCCTCTCTCCTCCTCATCTCTCCTCACCTCTCCACTACCAGCCACACACACACACACATCCCTTCCCCTTCCCTTCCCCTTCCCTTCCCTTCCCCCTTCTTCCAAAAACCAACAAAACCAACAAAACCAACAAAACGATAAAAGAAGTAAAATAACAACAAATAACATAAACTCGAACTTAAACTTGAACTTGAACTCGAACATAAACATGAACCAACACAAAGCACCATAAAACACCATACCATAAACTAAAAGTATCATAAAGTAAAGCATCATAAAACACCATACCATAAAATAAACTAAATTACTCAAGTTCCAACTAAACAAAAAAAAACAAGATCAGATCAGACCAGACCAAATACAACCAAAACACCGCACACATTAAAAATGCATCAATCAATCAATCAATCAAGCAATCAAACAAATCAATCAATACAATCATATCATATCATTCCGCCTCTCCACGCATCGTCACACATCGCCTAAATTTTTTTAAAAAACAGGAGAGAGATAAGAGAGGAATTGAACAATTATCCATCCAACATCCAACCTTTTCCCCCTAGTTTCCCGTCCGCCCGTCCATTCCCGCACCCATCCATCCATCAATATCAATAGCTCAAAAATAAACGCAGTAACCAAAAGAAAAAAAAGAAAAAGCTACTTTAAAAAAACAACTCCTAGCAATGCAACATGCTCGAAAAAAATAAAATAAAAAATCCTCACTATCTCAATATTAATAATAACATATCTCGCAGTTGTCTTTCTTCATCCATCTCCATCTCCATTTCCATTTCCATCTCACCTCCACATCCACATCCAAATCTAACCATCCACCTTCATTTTCATCTTCATCTTCATCTTCATTAAAACCTCCGGATCAGCCACCATATCCGGATCAAGCAAAGAACTCATCGCCTTACTCAACTCCTTAAAATCAACCGGTTTAGTCACATAACTATTAAAGCCCGCTTGAACGCATTTTTCCAAAACATCCGCCATGACATTTGCCGAGAGGGCTATGATTGGCATTTTAGCATATGAATTTTGCGTTTCCCATTCGCGGACTTCGCGACAAGTCTGATAGCCATCTTTTCGAGGCATGTGGAGATCGCACTATATATTGAGTTAATAAATGTAAAGAAAAGAAAATGACGATGGGAGGATAGAAAGCAGAAATAACGTACCAAGATCAAAGAATAAAATCCATGAGGTTTGCTGAATACTCTTTCTGTACATTCAACTCCATCCATTGCCAATTCAACCGCGATACCAACTTTGCTCAAGAACTTCAAGAGAACTTTTTGATTAACCAAATTGTCCTCTACCAAGAGAATTTTAAGACCTTTATTCCCAAGACGCTGTCCAACATCAAGATAGTGTTGTTTTTGACTTGCAACTTGTTGCTGGGCGCTTGAACGATTCCGATCAGTACTTAAATCTCTCTCTTTATCCGGATCAAATATTACTGCAAATCTTGAAGGCTTAACAGGCTTGTAAATGAACGTAAGACGATTATCCTTAGCCATTTGGTCATAGTCGTACGATTGAGCCATCTTAATAACTTCTTGTCGTTGTACAGGATCTGACAAAACGACAATTGAAGTTTGAGGTAGCCTCACAGATGCAACTAGTTGGTCAATCAATTGTACAATCTCCTCAGCAGAGCCGAGGTTCAAAACTATATGGGTAAAATTGACAGAATCATCTCCACTGATAAGACTTCGAGCTTCGTCAACACTTGAAAGTGGAGTTATTTGATGCGGAACGTCCTTTGGTAGAGTGATCTCGATATGTTGTCTCGTAGCTTCGCGACTGTGGGTTTGAGGACAAATAAGTAGGATTGAGTACATCGGAGGCCGGAAATGCTTTAGGTCTTGTGAGCAATCACTATTTGCACGAGTACTGTGTAAGTCTGACGGGGTCGGGGTGATGTAAGTAGAGGTGAGAGGACGAGTACGCTCAAGAGGTGACGAGGGTGACGAAGAATGTTTATTCGGAAGTTCAAGCTTCATTCTTTCCGGAGTACTTGCTCGAGCTGCCTCACCAAAATGAGCCAGGCTTTGAGCAACGGAAGACCCGGAAGATCGATCCGTGAGGCGACTTCGACCAGAATAGATAGATGGCTCTGAGCTCCCGGAAGAGACTACAGCTGGCGAGCCTGCAGATGATTCTGTCCTTGGACTGTCCATGAAGACTGCAGGCGAGTGTAATAGCCTTGTAGCCAAGAGTGGATTACTGAGAGCTTGTTTAGCAGCGACTTGTGAGGATAAACTATTGGATACTGAGGACGCTGATGACGGGACTTTGCTCAACTGAGGTGTTGAAAGTGGTTCTGGGTGATCCTCCGCTGTCGGCAGCCCGAACTTGGCAGTAAATGTAAAGGTTGATCCTTTACCAGGGACCGCAGTCCCTTGCATTTTGCCATCATGGAGTTGAACTAGTTGTCTAGAAATAACTAGTCCTAAACCACTTCCACCATGCTGTCTCGTACTGCTCCCATCTATTTGACTGAAAGGCTTGAAAATAAGATCAGCCTCTTCTTTGGTGAATCCTCGTCCAGTATCCACGATAGAATACTCCAGCATTATTTCATTGACTAGTGGCGGTGATTCGTCGTCTATATATACCCTGCATCTAGTAAAAACTTCTCCAACAGTTGTGAATTTAATGGCGTTGCCTATGACATTGAGCAGGACTTGACGAATGCGGAATTTATCCCCCTTAACCATTTCAGGAACATCAACGTCGACAATATAGTTAAGTTCAAGTCGCTTGGTGATGGCCATAGTGGATACCATTTCATTGACTTCTTCGACGAGAGATCGCGTATGGAACCATTCATATGACAATTTCATCATACCTGCATCTACTTTGGAAAGATCTAATATATCGTTGATAATATTGAGTAGACTGCTGGCACTAGATTGAATCGTGTTTGTGTAATCGAGCTGTTCATCATTGAGGGTAGTGTCCTGTAGAAAGCTTACCATTCCAGAAATGCCGATCAAAGGTGTTCTGATTTCGTGAGACATGTTGCTTAAAAACTTGCCCTTAGATTCCATCGCTTCTTTAAGCTTTGTTTCCAGTAACTTATGATCGTTGATGTCGGTACAGGCACCAAACCAGGAGCCGTCTCCACTTCCAAGATTAATGTTGTCAACTTCCACGCACCGTACAAGATGCCAACGATACTCTCCAGTCTTCGATCTCAATCGGACTTCGGTCGTGTAAGAAAGTCTTCCATTGCTATCTGTAGCGATCTTGATAACCCCAGTTCTCGCCAACTCGGACAAATCTGCCGTAGCAAATTCATACACAGAACTACTACTTGAGCTATTGTTTCTTGACAAGGTTTGATGGATTCCTTTCACTGTCTTTTCCGTTGGCGCTTCGGAGGGGTCCGATGACTGCCCTGATATCCCACTCGAAGATGCCTGAGATGGGTTTCTCGTCGGTTCGCCGGGTTTTTTGGGCCGAGTCAAAGGGGTCGGCGGTCTACCGACGGGAATTTGGCATTTTGCAAGATCGTCCGGATGCACGTAATCCATAAAACCTAGTCCCAAGGCATCGTTGAAATCCTGTCCGGTATACGAAAGCCATTGCTCGTTTGCGAAGGTTACGCCCTCATCTTCTGTCGCCGCAAAAATAA